GGGGGAAGTGTGATTTTTCTTACATTGTGTTTGGGCAAGAGCTGTGGTAAATAGGAAGCAACCAAACCAACATAATGTTTTTAAATCATCAAATTATGAATTGCTTGTTTATGGAGCCAGCATACACTTGAAACCATTTTTCTTGCAAAATCTTTGCAGGTTTTTGTAGTAAAAATTTTTTTGATGGCTTAACATATGGTATTCCCTTTTATTTATGGCCACAATGTTATGCACCAACGAGGCGTAGGAGTAGGAAACTTGTTCAATGTACTCCTAAGCTAGTCAGTCTGGATTGAGAAAAACTGTGTCCTTGGCCTCTGAAGCCAATGAAATAGCCTCTATGCATTACCACTGTTGCCATTGCTACTCACAGACTGAGATATAGATTGTAATAATGCACATGTCTGTACTACTGTATGTGCAGTTACATGTATAAAGCATGCAGAGATTGGCAGAACACAAGAGAAGTGTCAAGAGAAGCAYGACACGTAGCAGAGTGCTTCTTAACTCTTGAGTGCTTTACCAATTCCCTCTCAAATGCTTTATGACTTCACTCAGCAAAAATACTCATGACAAAATTTTTGGTTGCCAGCAGGTCATCCTTTTAAAATCTACTTTAAAATTCTAGTTGTCTCTGATGACTGGACAACTGCTAATTTTGGACCCTGACAAGGCCACTTACATCAGCTCAATTAAACAGCACGGTATATAAAGAGCCCTTTATCATCAGTCAATCAGAATCAATAATGTTTTCCTAATCAATAATTTTGTCTTGTGTGTTGTTTCAGGTGTGTTCTTAACATTTGGCTGTTCAGGTATAGTCCCAGCYATACACTTCATAGCAGCATATGGTGCAACATTAGCTCATCGTCAAGCATCAGTTGGTTGGATGGCCTTGATGGGTGTACTGTATATACTAGGAGCTATTGCATATGCTACTAGAATACCAGAAAGGTTCTTTCCTGGCAGATTCAACATATGGGTAAGTCTTTATTTCAATCACATTTAATGGAAAAGCTGTGACACTGAGGACACTCAACCCATGAACAATTTGCTTTAAAAAAATGCATACTGTAAGATTAATCATCCCTTDAGCCAGTCAATTGGAAATAAGATTTCTTTTGATCACGGCACTGCAAAACTGTGGTGTCATGAAGCCAGTGAAATTTGGCCAACAACAAATGAAAACATCATTGACATCCATTGCAATAAAAAATGTAAATAGAGAATAATACATGGGTGTTCAAAGATATGGGAAAGTGATGGAGTAATCCACAGAGTAATCCAGTACCGCTCAAAAGCTGGATTTTCATTGCTCCCTAAGTACAGTACCACTTTTGTAGGGTTAGGTTTGGTGCTATTGTTTGGATGACCAATCTATTGTTTTTTTAATCCAATCATGTAACTCGTTCCAAGTGGTATGGGCTGGCTCAAAATGACGTGCGAGTTTTGCATATTTTGTTGATTCTGATTGGCTAACATATTCTCTGTGTTAAATAGGACATGTTAATCATCGTTAAATTCTTTCTTTTTTAGTTCCAAAGTCATCAGATCTTCCATGTGTTGGTAGTAGCWGCAGCAYTAGTCCATCTGTATGGTATATGTCAAATGGCTTACTATCGCTTCTCTATAGGAACCCAATGTCATTAAATAATACTGCAATACTAAATGTTGATCAGGGCTTCAGTCATTACTCATCATCACAAGCCAAGTTAGTTTCACCTCCGTCATACTTTATCTCCAGCTCATTGTTACTGCTCAAAATGACCAGCAAGGTAAAGATTTGACCGGACAAGTTACAATATTGTGGCTGGACATTATTTTAAGCCCTGTCGATTACCTAGAAAAGACTGATCTCCTATTGCAGTCTTGGAAATGAATCTCAGTCCATGGTTTCTTTATTAAATATAAAATTATCTTAAAACATGGGCAATATTAGGTTGTCTTTACATAGGGGGGAGATTCTCATATCTGACAAATGCTAATAAGAATAAATATTAATTTGCCCTTGATATAGTGGTTGGCCTACCGATGGCCTACCACTTACCATTCAATAATATTATGCTGCAGATTGTTTATTGCAGTGAAAACTAAAAAGGCTTACAGGTAGCTTAATAGTATTATCATCACACTAGCCAGCAAAGACCAAGTTAGGGTCACACATTATTATCAGGCAGATGGATGCATACGCACATTAAAAGATATGACATTKATTTGTTCCTATTTGTTCATCTGGAGAAGAACAATTTAAAAAACAGCCTTCAGGAAGATTCTTGAAGGACTTCCCCTAGACCTTAGAAAAACATTGTTTACTCTTTAACTCACAAGAAATGTAAAATATTGAAAATATCWAAATAAGAATCACAAATCACAAGGTTTATCCAGTGGCAGGGATATATATTAAACTTTCAAAAAGAATTATTATTATGTGTACCAACTTAATGGTTTTCCACCTTCTTCCTCTTTCTTTCTCTCAAGATTGCATCGTTTTCAAAATTCACTTTATTTAGTTTGAAGAACAAAAGATTGTTAAGATATATTCTTGGACTTTGCTTTCAAAATTGGATTTTTCGTTTTTCAAGTAACCTATTCTGTSATGATAACAGTATACAGCATGGGATGGTTATTAGTTTCAGAAGGAAGTCAAAATGAAATAACTTTAAGGTTTTGGTTTTTGACTTTTAGACTTGAATATAGATTTTAGTGTGTCATAATTGGTTGAGCAACCAGTGATTTTGAGACACTATTCACTGCTCGAACGGTGATTATGAGGTTTGCCAGAGCGGGAGTTATACTAAGACGCTTTTTTATYCTTAGTTTTTCCTTTGATATTTAAGTTTAAATTTATACTAAAACAATTATTGCCTTGGGCTCAGAGAATTCTCCATATTCACTTTGCCTTTGGTGAATATTTGTTATCGTTGGATTTATATCTATTTGAAAACTTCTTTCTTCTTTTCAATATATTCCATCAATCATCCCCACAAAAGATACAGT